AGCAATTTCCACCTATTAGTGTCACGTTTTTTTTTTTTTTTTTTTTCTACCATTATATATACTTAAAAGATCTGATAATAACCCAATTTACCGGGTTTTACACAATCAGCAGAAGCCTCGCTGGCGCAATCGGTAGCGCTTACGACTCTTAATCGTACGGTTGCGGGTTCGAGCCCCGCGTGGGGCTACTGTCTCTTTTTTTACAAATTTCCCGTTTTTTTGGCTAAATAAAGGTTTATTATCTTTATTTTGATAATATTTTAGCTTTGATTAGCTATTGTCCCTCTCTAAAGTTTTCTTTTTAGGTTCTTAGGCTTTTTGGGCGTTGAAAATTGTCAAATTTGTTTCCATGTTTGAAATCTTATGTAAATTATTAGTCATGTAAGTAATGTGCTTCAGTGCTTCCTTAAAAGGCAGTAGTCATTTTCAGAAAAGACAGTTCATATCTATACTTCACTAGTTAGGCTCTGTTATTATCTGGTTACCTTCTTGATATTACTGTTATTGAATTTATCATATAATGTTGTATATATATATATATGGTAGGAGCACGAAATATTAATTTTTAATGAATAATGTGCTTATTCAAAACATTAAAAGATAAAGTATTAATTTTATTGATAATTTAAGCTCTAAATTACCCAAGTACTTTAATGAGCTAATGATTTCAGCAGAATTCAAACTTTTAAATTTTTACAATTTTTTTACTTTTACAATTTAATCAATATCAAAATTTTTATTTTTACTTCAAAATTAAAATACTTCAAAATATCAAATTTTTTATAAAATTATTTCCTTTAAAAAGCCAAAATTAGCAGATTATACAACAATTAGAACAAAAATAATCAAAATTACTGATTACCAGCTAATTTTATTGCCAAAATAATGGGTTATTCCAAAGCTTTGGATATACTTAGTTGGTTTGAGCCACATGATATTATTTAATAGAATCCGATTAGATCCGAATAAATGTATTAGCTACAACATCAAAAAACTTGAGCAGAATATAAACAGTTTAAAATGCAGATAATGTTATATTGTAAGTTATACGTCTAACTATCTATCAATATTGAGTACTAAATTTACTAAATCCAAAACTTCATTATTTTGATCTGAAGATTTCGATGATGAATATTCTGGGTTTTCAAGTTTACTTTTTATAACTTGATCAAGTAATAGTCTCAATTCTTTAACTAAAACTGCGTTCTTACACCATGTCTTAATTGGTAACCAACTATCCAATACAATACCTGGTGAGGTTTTGCCAGAAGAAACTGAATTCAAATCATATGACAATGGTCCACCAAATAAAAGAGTTGATAATGTTGAAGTTGGTGTAACATCTCTCAAAAATAATTTTGAAGTAAGTGAAGATGAATTGTAAACAACAAATGGTGATTTGATTGCTTTATTTTTAGCACTTTTCAATTGTGGTGTGAAATCAATCTGTCTTTGTTGTAAGACCCCAAAATCAACCAAACCATCTTCTCTATCAGTTTTATAATCACTTGGAACAATGTTTTGTGGCGTTGAAGTACCTGAGCTTGTATCAAACATAACGGAGGAAGGATGAATAAATGCTCTTGTTGCCGGAAGTTCTTCTGTTGAAGCTTCATTAGAATCTTCCTTACCTAATGATGAGATAAACTCTTCATTTCTAATCCAGTATTTAGTTTGTGCAGCTTCAGGATCTTTTTGAATAGCACCAGATGATGTATTGAAGAATTTAGGATCAGGGAGCTGAACACGAGCCACTTGGGGATAGAAAGCACCTGTAATGATTGATTTGATTAAATTATCATTCTTGTAGTTCTTATTCAAACGCTGATCACCTTCTTTGTACTTCAATGGTAAGAAGCCAATATCTTGTAAGATTGAAAGATATTGAGTTTTAGCTGAGGAAATCTCATTAATTTTAGTGAATGATAAATGATTTTGATTCATAAATTTTCTCTTTTCACTTGATGTTTTAATTTTAAAATATTCTTCCACAATTAAAACAGTTGATACTAGATCACCAAGGTGTTTAGTTTTACTTAAAATATTTTTGACCTCATCTCTAGAATCAACACTTCTAATAAATGGTGAACCAACACTTAAAATTGAAGCTGTTAAAATACCAATATCAGCACAGCCAAAGATGATTGAAAAAATCAATAATTTACCATGTTTTGGATCAATAATAGGCAATAAACTGATAAAGCTACCCAATTCAGTCAAATCATCATACTCATCAATTAAACCAGCACATTTCAACAATTCTTCAGATTTAGTCAATGAATTCAAAGGTGGAGGATCCATACCTGTATTTAAAAATGCAATGACATCCTTAATACCCATAGATTTAACAACCAAGTATAATGAGTCCAAGTTGATTCTCTTTATTTCTGGAATAGGACTATTCAACATGAATTCATAAGTTTCTTCTGTATATAATTTATAAGATTTACCTTTTGAAACTCTCCCAGCACGACCTCTTCTTTGTTTAGCTTCAGCTTTGGATTCAAATGTTTCAATAAGTTTTGTAGTATTATCAATTGAGTTATATGTCATTGATTTAACACGACCAGAATCAATTGTAACAACACAGTCATTAATAGTAATAGATGTTTCAGCAATATTAGTAGAAACAACAATTTTTCTTTTCCCTGGGAACGTTTCAAATACTTTATGTTGTTCTTGTGGTGTCAAAGCAGAATGAAGTGGTAGAACAACAGATGGACTGTCAAAATTTTGATTCAATAACTTCACACATTTGTTGATTTCAGCAACACCTGGTAAAAAGATCAAAATAGAACCATCATTGGATTCATTTTTAAGATCAACATGAATTTTTGAGACAAGTGAAACAATTAAATCATAATTAATGTTACCACTTTGAAAAAATTTAGAATCAGCTTTAGGTGTGATCCATTCATCATTCATTTCTATTTGGAAATTTGTTTTACTTAAAACATGATCTAAATAAAAATCTTCAATTGGGAAAGTTCTACCTTTAATATGGCATGTAGTTAAACCTTTGAAGAAGTTTTGAAAAACACTTAAATCCACAGTAGCACTCATCATTACAACTTTTAAATCTTTATATCTTGATAATAATTTTTTCAACAATATTATAATTAAATCAGTTTCCATAGATCTTTCATGAACTTCATCAAGAACCAAAATTGCATTATTCAAAAATTCATCACCATTTTGTAAAAATTTAACTAAAATACCAGTAGTCAAGAATTTAATCCTAGTATTTCTACTTGATTTATTAGCCCCTCTAATAATATAACCAACTTCTTCACCACATGTAGTAGCACGTTCTTCAGAAACCCTTTCAGCTAAACCAATAGCAGAGATTCTTCTTGGTTGGGTACAGAATATTTGAGTTTTATAATCCCCTTTTGCGTATAAATCATCCAACAAGAATTGAACTAATTGTGTTGATTTACCTGAACCAGTTTCACCAGTGATTAAACTGACTTGGTTTGATTTAACAGTCTCAATTAATTGTTTTTGAACATCCCATGCTGGTAAGTTTGTTCTAGATTTAACCATTGATTTGAATTCGGAACTTTGTGTTCTTTTTTCATAATCATTCTTAATATATGTAGTATCAGGATTTGATCTAAATGAACGTCTTTGCTTTGTTGTCTTTTGGTCATCAATATTTAAATCATCAACTGTTGTTGATTCAGCTTTAGGTTTTATTAAAGGTCCAGGATTTTCAATGATTTTAGCCATATTCTCTTTCAACCAATCAACAAGTGAATAAATATAACTCATACCTAGTAAATTTTCTATAGAATATTGAGCTAGGCTTCTGACAAGATTATTCTTGACATAGTTGGGTATCTTATGATTTTCATCTTTTGTAGTGACAATAAAACCAGCTAAATCATTTGGATAAGATGGTGATTTGAAAATTTTAAGACACAGTATATCATTCAAATTCATTTGAACTGTTCCATCATCTATAATCTTTATATCTTGAGGTTCAAAAATTGACGTCAAACTAGAAATTTCTTCTTCCCAAAGTTCTTGTGATTCAATCGGATCTAATTCACCATCATATTTATAATTCACTAAATTGCTTGTTAATGATATAATAGCATTTGAAACATTTTGATCATTTTCTTTTAAAGACACAATAGCTTCAGGTCTACCAACCCCAAAGTCCATGACTTTTCTGACCAAACTTTCATTTTTATCAGCTATAGTAACGGAATCATTACTTGAGCTAACATCATGGAAATAAGCTGGTAAATCATCTTCTGGAACATTAAATAATAAGAATGATAATGGATCTTGATACTGTAATGATTCTTCAACATGGGAAGCTCTAAACCCAATATTCAACAAGAGCTGCTTTGTAGATGTTTCTGTATTTGATGCTTTTTTCCACTGGATATGTGATTTAATAATCTTTTGGATCAATTCTCTTTGTTGAACTGTGAAACCAAATGACACTGCATTATCCCAAACTTTTTTAGGGAAAGTAACAGCTTTTCGATGAATAGGTTTAGCGATTTTTCCCTCTGATCTATTAGTTGATTTATGAATTGAGGATTGGGAGTTTTTGGATGGTTTTGACGTAGTTGATGGTTTTATAGAAGTTAAAACTATTGGAGTTTTCTTTACTTTTGCTTCATTGTTCAATCGTATTTCTCTTTCTTTTGATTTAGATTCTTTATTTTTACGATCTTCAATAAAAACTTTGAAAGGATCATTTGTATATAATCGATCATGCTTATCTTTGTTGTCTTTTAACACAGTCTTTCTTTCTGATTCTAATTGACCCCAAGTATCTTTGAACTCTCTCGGTAGAACCATTTGTAGATTCTTATTGAAACAAACACGATGAAGAGCAGCAGTAGCGGCAAAATATCTCGCCTCTATTGGAGTTTCTTTAGCTGGTAAGTCATGTCTAACTTTGACATCAATCATTTCATTAGCTTTTGGATCTTTCCATTGTAATATAGCAGTAGCAACAAATCCATCTTTAACTTTCATCATATCATATTGGACTTTTTCCCATTTTGATCGTTGTGCATGTTCATGGAGTAAACTTATTGGAGTTTTACCACTTGAAGGTCTATTTGTAGATGCAGGTCTATCGGTTGTTTGAGATTGTGAATTTGACACATTATTTGATTTACCATTACCATTGGCGGCTTTATCATTGGTTTTTTTACCTTTAGCTTTCGGATCTGGAGGGGGAGTAGCTTCTTTTGAAGGTTTAAGCTTTGGTGTTTTCTTTGCCATTCCGGATATGTGAAATTATCTGTGATTGATCTAGAAGTGGCCGATCTATGGTGAAGTTTTTACGAGCGTAAATTACCTTCAAATCAAAATTTTGGTTATGGTATTCACTATTCAAAATTGACCGTGAAAAAAAAAATAGTTTGCCGACACATCACAAAAATGGCAGAAAAACACCGGGTTTAGTCGGACATCAAGCGAGATTTGTTTAGTTTAACCGGTGGAATTGAACTATTTATGAGCTGAGTTCAGCATTGTAAACGAGGCAGATCGAGTTTAACCTTGGTAAAAATATAGACGATGTGAATACTAACAGATACTGTGTGATATTTCCGGTATGAATTGTTCTAGACGTTTGCTCACCAAGTTGGTTTATAACTAGTTGTGTTTCCTATGATGGCAACGACGACTAGCTACGTAAACTAGTTGAGCGTATACTTCAAACCTTAATATGACGTCTCTTTAGCTGAAGAAATGGATGCATACTTCCTCAACGTCTCGATACTCTATAGCAACAATATTCTAGAGTGTATTTCCTAAAAAGGTCCCTCCGTATATACTCGGACGATAATTCTCGGTTGTAAATAATAGTGATACCATATTTGTAGTTAAGTCCTAATTTAGCACGAAACGCATACCCATTTACCGATTGTCGAATACCCAATGAAGCATAGAAATATATTCAAATGAATAAGAAATCGGACACTTTTGGAATTATTACCTAGTAGCTAGACTCTTTTATGTTTCGGTGGATATATCAGTTTCCGTGCACCGAGAGTAATATTGTAACAATATGGGTAAATAAAGATTAATAAAGATGGGTCATCTGTAAGAGAAAAATTCTTCTGGGGAAGATTTTATTGTTATATATAAACAAGCTAAAAGCCATCTTTTCCCATAGCCTTGACATACATACACTCATAACAGCTCATAATTTATGCCTTTAATGGGACACAGCAATACTAGTTAATGATATTAATCCATATCAAACAATGTCGGATAGTTTAAATAATAATCTTCATGATTCCGTTGATGAATCAGAATCTACAAACATGAAAAAGAGAAGAGTTGGTAAAGCTTGTGATTGTTGCCGTATGAAGAAGACTAAATGTGATGGTGTTAAACCTTGTTCAAGATGTAAAATCCATAATCATTTATGTTCATATACAGAACGTCGTTCATCATTTCATAAAGAATATCAAGAAGGTTATGTTGAATTATTAGAAGCTAGATTAAGTTTATTAACAAGATGTCTTCATAAATTTCATCAAATGGTTGATAATGGTGATGATGTTTCAAATTTGAAGGTTAAAGATAAAAAGGAATTAAGTATAAATAAATTGGTTTCATTATTGGAGAATGATGAACATTATGGTAATGAAATTAATGATGATCTTGGTGTTTGGGATAAAGGTATTGAAATTGCCTCAAAATTTGATGAGAATAATTCAAATTATATGAAGTCTGCATGTTCTGAATTTGCTGATCATTTTAAAACTGGTATACATGGTGCTAGTACTAAGGGAAGGAAAAGAACCAGAAAAGGCAGAAATCCAAAGCTAATAGAGAAGAAAGCTACCAAGAAATTTAAATGTATTACAAACAACGAAAGTGATTATCATGAATTTGAACGTTCATCAAGTCCAAGTTTACCACAATCGCCAATTATAGAAACTGATATCACAACAGAAACCAATAAACCAATCAATGAATCACCATCAAGCCTATTACTAAGTCCAGATGATGAAATCCCATTGAGTACAGAAAGTCTATTCATTACAAGAAATCCTTTCAATAACAATCAAGCTTTAGATCAATCTAGTTTACCAATAATTCCAACGAATGTTGAGGATGAATTCATTGAACAAAATTCCAATATCAACAATAACAATAATAACAATAATAACAATGAGGATAATTATTTACTTTATGGTAATTCAAATCCAGAAATTTTGCCAATGAGATTTTGGCCTTATTATTCTGAAATTCCCGAAGGTTCAGTTTATAATGAAGTTAATGGGTTTAATTATTATCCACAAGTCAATACAAATCCAGTCAATTTTTTATGATTTATACAGCTATAAAAGCTAAAAGCTCTATATATGATGATTCTTTTCTACGATCTGGAATTGGACTAAATATTCTTATATAATTTATGATTTATGCAAAGTTTAAACAAGATTTAGTAATATTCTTATTAATGCAATTGTCAATACAATTATCAATACAGGTTTGATTTCTTTATTATAAATATGATATTATATTATTAATATATTATGTAGATTAAATGATTAAGTTTGATAGGAAACTTGATAAAAAGGCAATACAAAGCATTAAAAAAACAACCGCACACGCATGAAAAAATAATAATAACAGGATAGTCTTATGAAATTAACATGTTAAAATTATTTTAATAATTTTTCAATAGTATCTTTTAAACTTGATGGTTTAGTTAATGAAGAATAACGTTCATAAACTTTACCTTCTTTATCAACAATGAATTTTTCAAAATTCCATTTAATACCTTTGAAACCTAATAAACCAGATTTTTCATTTTTTAAATATTGATAAACTGGATCAGCATTACCACCATTAACTTCAATTTTTTTCATAATTGGGAAAGTAACACCATAGTTTAATTGACAGAATGATTGAATTTCTTCTTGAGAACCAGCTTCTTGATGACCAAATTGATTACATGGGAAACCTAAGATGACTAAACCTTGATCTTTATAGTTTTTGTATAATTCTTCTAATTCAGTATATTGAGGAGTGAAACCACATTTGGAAGCGACATTAACAATTATAACAACTTTGCCTTCCAATTGTTTGAAGGAGAATGGTTCACCGGCTTTGTCTAAAGGAGCTAATTCGTAAAATTTGGACATTGTGAGATATGAATGATATTGATTGATTGAAGATAAGAGATCTGAATGAAAGACTGAATATCCGTTATAAAGTCAAGTATTTATATTTTTGAATTCTGATAATTTTTATAAAGTGTCAATCTGATTGAATGAGATTCGCGAAAAATCTAGAAAAATTTCTTTTTCTGCCTCGGTTGATAAAATTTGACGGGAAACTCAATCGAATTCATTTCAACGGTTGAACAGGAACTTTTAGTTTAGGCAGGGAGCTAGGCAAGGGATTAGACAGGGGATTAGACAGGGGATTAGACAGGGGATTAGACAGGGGATTAGACAGGGGATTAGATGGAATAATGGGGATACTTTAGATCTAAAGACATCATGAAGAAGTCTTTGAAGTTTGTAGTTGTAGAGTTGTTCCGACGTTCCGATACTATTAAAGAATAGAGTCAAGGCATCGGATATGTATGCAAAGAAACCGTTAGAATCCCATAAAGAACAACCATGCAGAAAAAATCCTAGTGAACACTGAAGTTTCCACGCTGAAGCCTTTAAATTGGGAATTTGGATTCTAGACGTTGAAATGCTGAATAATTACATAATTAACTAGGAATCATAGATTAGAAATTAAAAATGTTATTGATTAGCTTATGATAAGGTACCTAGAAAGTCCTCGGTTGACAATTAGACAATTAGAAAAGATATTACATTATAATTATAGGTCTAGACTTATATAGACTACATTAGCAACATGTTATAAATCAAAACCCAACTATATTATTGTATCATTAAAATAATTGTTTTTCTATACGTATACGGATAAATCATGGACTTTCATAAAACACAAGTTACACAACTAAATTGTAACAAGTGAAGAGTTATATTTAAATATTTATAGGTTTTTGTAATAAATGACCCATTCTTTCAATCTTGGTTCTTAAATAACCATCAATTTCCGAAGAATGTATACCATTTTCACCACTCTTACCCCAAGCTAAAGGTACCATTGGAACTCTTTCAATAACTTTAACTTGTCTTTCTTTACCTTCAACGGCAACAATTTTATCTGGATTATTTGTTAATAATTTAATGTTTGTTAAACCTAAATCAATTAATATAGCAGTTGCTAATGAAAATGATCTACCATCTGCTGGATGTCTTAATAATAAATTAGCTTGTACAGTATCATGACCTAAATCTTGTAAATTATAAGCTTTTAATTTTTCTCCTAATCCAATACCACGACCTTCTTGTCTAAGGTAAACAATACAACCTTTACCATCTTTACCCATTAATCTACCAGCTTCATCAAATTGTTCACCACAATCACATCTTGCTGACCATGCAGTTTCACCTGTATAACATTCAGAATGTATACGAACTAATGTAGCTTCATCTTCTTCACTTAATTGATAAATTGCATAACCTTCATCATCAAATTTTAATTCTTCACCTGTGATTTCATCTTTATCAGCAATATTACGACCTGGTCTTAATTTACCAACATAAGCACCTCTTGTCATTCTATCACTTTGAGATTCACCATGTCTTTTTCTAAATAATGTCTTGGATCTAATTTTTTCACCAAAAACAATAGCTAAATGTTCTTTATTATCAATATTATTTTTATATAAATGTAAAAAAATTTCAACACCTTTTGTTGTTGGAATTCTTGCTCTTGCTAAACATTCCACTATTGGTAAAACATCTGGTAATTGTTCTCTTTTATCATTTGGTAAATCTTGAACATTAACTGGGATACCTAATGGTGTTGAAGGTATGGATCCATTTGGTGTAGTTGATGGTGAAACTAAAGGTATATTTTCAAATACACTATCACTTCCTAATCTTGGTGTTGGATGTTCAACCATTTTTGTTTCTGATATTCTAAACTTTGTATATGATATGATTATATGACTTCTTTTTATTTGGATATTGTTTATATTCTTATGTGGATTAAATCTTCTCTTTTTCTCCTCTTTTCTTTCGAAATGAATTGCTAATATGCTTTTTGTATTGTATCGGATAAAGTTATCTTTCTTTATATATGTATGACAGCTTTTCTAATCAAATATAAATCTTGAAATCTTTTTTTGATCAGTAATTTTGTTAATTTAATTAAATTTCCGGAGACAATTATCAATCATCAACTCATACTTAATAATCAACGAAAAGGAAAACTGTGGATCCAAAAGAAAAAACCGAAATTTGGCAGAAAAATAACTAAAGAGTTTCCGAATGAGGTAATTGCGCCAAATGAAAGTCAGCCGGGCCGTTTATGGTAATCATCAATGACAAATAACTAGAGTGTAATTACAATTAAGAAGAGTTAACCTTTAGCCATCTTCAAGATGAAATTCTTGATCTCAATCTTAACACAAGTCAATATTCTTTTTCTTTGATCTATTTTACACAATGTTTTGATAATTTAGGTGTGGTGCTAAAATTTAATGTTCTCGAAATTTTTTACGCTTTTACATAAATAGTTACCGTAAACAGTAATTATGGCGAGATTAAAATGACAAAACTACCTAATACGGTAATATTACTAGTGGCTGACAAACTTCAATAATAATTTATAAGCTCAAGCTGAGCTCAAGGGCTTTGAAAGCTGACTCAAAGTTCAACGAAATGAAAGGTTACCAGAATCGAGTTGAGTAAGCACAATTAGAGAATGAAAGTTTTTGTCTTGTGATGTCAAGCTGCTCAGTAAGATATCGATGTTATTCTTAATATTGTGTTGATATAATCAAATTAAGATATGCAGCTAGATATCTCTAGCTGAAACGTCTAGATTGCACATATAAGCAATGTTTTCAATTTGAATGAAATGGATCAAACTAGATCATGATGATGCATAAACATCATTCATCTTTTTGAAACTTAATTATCTTCCATATATATGATATTAATAACTACACAATACACAATGGATCGATCTAAATTCTGACACAAGTTGCGCTAGAGCCTAGCACTTCAGATATATATACTAGTAATATCTCACCACCTCATCGGTATATATATTTATAAAATTATCATGATAATTCGCGGTAACTACGTCTTCAATATGTCAACTGGCTATAAATATATTTCATGACCATTGAACACAACTAATTTAACATAATTAAATTAGTTCCGAGGGTAGCAATAACTATAGACCATATCAAAACAGCTTTACAGTATAAATTTCAAATGAAGACTAGTCTTCGAACTAGACCATTGAAATTATCGATAGAGCTTGATAATTGATACCATTTGTATTTGTATAGTACTTTTGTGTAACCAACCACTAGTTCCGAGGGTAGGGAATAAATTTAATTTAACCGACACAAAAACACAAAAACACATTTCCGATACTATATAAAGAGAAGCGTAATATTTTGAGCTTTAAAGTTTTAAAATGCATAACATAGCGTTTATCAACGGCCAGCTGTAAAATCTACAAAAATCTGGTGCTTCAAATTATATCTGCGTACAACAGGTCCAGCGTAAATTGTGGTACTGGTGATATTAAAATTAATTTTACCGAAGGTCGGAATTCAGAATTGTGTCTGCCATTGTAATCGGGCAATCTTTAACATGAGCTCCCGCAATCTCAAAATTGTTAAACCATATTTATCATCATTTTAACGTCAATTATTATAAACTCAATTAAACTCAATTAACATTCATAGTCATATAATATATTCATTAAAATAATAATGATGGTTGCTTTTACTCAAAAACAAATACTTTTAGGTTCAGGTCTTATAGTTGGTACAGCAATAATTGGTACAAGAAATTTTTGGTGGAATCAACGTAAAGTTTTAGAACCACCATCATCAACAAAACAAGGTAATAGAATTTTCCTACCTATTAGATTTGAAAATGAATTAGAAGATTTATTAATTATTAAAAGACCATTATTATTAAATTTCACTGTGAGAGGTGATCCATATTGTAATAAAGTTACTGGTGCATTACAAAGAATTATAGCTTATGAAACTGATAAAAAAATTAATATGGTTGATATTGAAACTGATGAACCTGGTACAAGAGATCTTTTACCAAGATTTGGAGTAAGAAATATTCCAACTATAGTTGCTGTTAAGAAAACTTTACCTGTTGATCAATATGTTGATCAAAAATTATTAGAAAATCCAGATGGTGAAATTGATTGGATTAAATTAAAAGAATGGGTTGAAAAAAATTCAGATCCAAGTGATAGTTAACCCTACAAGTCATTAAATATATATACATACAAACATTCTATTCAATATCATTAGGACTCCATATTTGAAGAACATTATCATAAAAACTACATGTAGCAACTTTCTGACCATCAGGACTCCAATCACAACCATAAACCATACTTTCATGATCTTTTTTGAAAAACCTATCCACTATAGGTTCTGTATCACTTTTTGCACCTATTATACGAGCACCATTATACATACAACAAGTTAATAATCTATTATCATTTTGTATAGTTGAAGGTTGAAATCTCCAAACACCACCTCCAAGATTTAATTTATTTTGAACTCTTGGTATAATACCATTAACTATCCCTAAATCAGGTACAACTCTAAGATCTAGGCTTCTTAATTGATCATCATAAGAACCAGTCCATAAAGTATAAGGTTTATCAACAAACCAATCCCCTACACCGTTATGATTCCCAAAAGTTGAAGTTTGAATAGCAACAACACCAGCTTCATGAGTTCTTCTTGCATGGAAAATACTCATTGATTCTGGTTCTCTTAAGTCATGAGCAATTAAGGCACCATCATCACCACCTGTGAATAAAACATTTGATAATTCAGCCATATTACCAAAAGCACCAGTCCAACATTCTAATTCATGTTGAGTACCGAAAAAAATTGGTTCAGTTAAAGAATTCCCTTGAAGTTCAACTAATGCTAAATAACCATCTGTACAAGTTAATAAAATTTTATTTTGTAAAGTTTGTGAAAAAATTAATGAAGTTATTAAAACATCCTGTTCGAAAATTTGTTGATGATGTAAATTTATTAATTTATTTTCATCTAATTCATATCTCCATATAGTTAAATCACCAGTTGAATGACAAGTAATAAATAAAGAATCATCATGAGGAGAGAATTTCATATCCAAAATAGCAGATTCTGTAGGTTCACTATGAATCAATTCCAATGAATCTTGATCCTGTTCATTATGTTTATATATTTCAATACTACCAGTTCTTTTACCAGTTTCTTTAATTAAATTATATGTCCCCAAGAATAATAATGAAGAATCTAAAGGATGATATCGTAGAGCACAAGGTGGTAATTTGGATTTAGTGAAGGCGATTCTTTTAGATTCAGGAATAGACATCTTGGTGTACACTTTGGTGGTTTCTTTGTTGTAGTTTTTTGGTGTATTTACCATCAAATTTATATGTCAAGTATTTTTTTTTTCATCGGGACTTGACAAAAACAAAATCTCTATAGTTAAGATTGAAACATCAGATCAACACCGTTCAAAAGCGAAATAGAAGCACCAAGTCTCCCAAATCACCACTCTAAACAGAGTCTAGGACATAAAACACGTCAATCAATACTCAAACCCTCAAATTCCCATATAAATTTCATCTTTTGATCTAATGTTTTGAAATTTTTGGTGTATCAAAATTCTTTACAAAACGCGAAATGTAAACAAAAAAAACTGAAAATGACAACAAAAAACTTGAAACTTTTGGAAAACGTCAACAAAGATTTCAATTCAATTCAATACAAATCCAAAGAATTAAATTAAAATGGTATGTGGATATTTGATTGATATCGTACTTGATATGGTATGATATGAAAAGATATAGATCATTGACTAACACCCTTCCCAGTCCTCAAACACAAAAACTTATAAAGACGCCTTCTCCCTTTTCGATAAGAAAGGTACAGGTAAAGTTTCACCAGATACTTTAGGTGATTTATTAAGAGCAGTTGGACAAAATCCAACATTAGCAGAAATTTCTGATTTAAAATCTCAAATTCCGGGAGATTTAGATTTTGAAACTTATGTCAAGATTATAAATAGGCCAGATGGATTTAAACCTTTAGGTGAACCTGAAGATTATATTAAAGGTTTCCAAGTATTTGATAAAGAAGGTACTGGTTATATTGGTGTTGGTGAATTAAGATATATCTTAACTTCTATTGGTGAAAAATTATCAGATTCTGAAGTTGATGAATTATTAAAAGGTGTTAATGTTACAAAAGATGGGAATGTTGATTATGTTGAATTTGTTAAATCAATTTTAGCTCAATAGATTTTGTTATGTTATTTTTTTTACATTGATTTATTTGAGTTTTGAAAGCTATATATATACCCAGAATTATTGAATGATTCTTTCCCAAGACAGTTTTATTAATTTTTTTTTATAGGTTGTACCATTGTGTCTAGTTTACAGGAATTTATACAAGGTTTTATTATAAATTAGCAAGTAGTACATTAATATGAATTTATAAATATATAAATAACTTTAAGTGTTTGTTGATTCTCACAATATTGGTAAGAAATTCCCAATAATCATCATTGGAATTCCAAAAACATCTCTTTTTAAAGTCCACATACATGTAGTTTTAATCTTTATACTTTCAGAACTTAATAAAGTACAACCAGTCATTGTAGCACCCCGGAAATCACCATAAGCAATTGTTGAAAAAAGATCAAAATATTCCACAACTGAAGTATCATCCATTAATTCCACAATAAATGTAATTTTACTTAATAATTGTTCCTTGGTCCAACCTGTTAAGATACAAAATTCTTCAGAAACATATGCAATTTGTCCTGTTCTTCTCCAAACTATAGTTGGTGTTCCAGATATAGAAATGAATTTATCATATTCTAATAAAGTTCTTTGGAAACATTGTTCCATAAAGATTAAATCATCTTCTTTTAAAGTATTTGTACATGCAATAAAACTTGGTCTATAATTTGCCATACTTTTTGCCATTTTAACTAATTCATTTTTGGGGAATCTACTTCTTAAATAATTAATTAAAGCATGAAATCCAGGTGTATAACTAAATGGTTTATTAATTTTTGCATAGATATCTTCAGGTTCTTTAAATTTTAATCCCCAAAAACTTTCAACATCTTGACCATAATTTAAATTAAAAGAATCTGAATTCAGGGAATTGCTACTATTTTGTTCATCAATACCAATGGCAAAACTTATTGTTGATTTTAATTCATTTTGTTGGAAATCATCTAAATTTGTAAATTTATCCTCTTCAATCCATTTCATAACTTCAGGAAATGTTATTAATTGATCTTGAACTATACCCAACATGTATTGATTTATAGTTTTATCACCTTGTCTATAAGTTTTATAAATATCATGACCATGGATTGAAGAAGGTGTAGGAGTTGAAGTTGCACTATGAGTAGAACCATGTCTAAATCCTTCAAGATATGAATTTGACCTTTGATGTTGTTGATGTTGTTGTTGGTATTGCTGTTGCTGGAGATATTGTGGTGATGTTATTTGTCCATTATAGCCATCACTTGGACTATGTCTTATACCTGAAGGACTTAGATGATCTTGTTTGATTATATCACTCAATATGGAATATTCAAGATCAGCAGCAGATGATAGAAATTTTGATTTATGACGGGTTGGGAATTGTAATGGTTGATAATTCTCCTGTTGTTGAGGCTGTTGTTGTTGAGATTGTTGTGGTTGAGGCTGCTGTTGAAATTGATGGAAATTATTTTGATCATAAGTATCAGGTTTAATAAATGAATTTGTAGTTGAAGTTGAATTTGATAATTGTGGAGGATAAAGATCATTTAATGAGTTTTCCTGTTGCTGCTGTGGAGGTGGTGAATTTATAGAAGGAGTTCTTTGCATTTGATTTTGAGATTCTAAATCATCAGGAACATCCATTAAATATTTCTTCTTCTTTCTTGGAGCATCAACACAAGTTTCTTCAAGACCTCTTGTGATACATCGTTTACATGGACGATTTTCATCACAAGTCATATGAGCTTTGTGACAATGATTGCAAGCTCTTGCAGTTTTCTTTCTTGCAGGTTTAGCACGAGGGGTCTTATATTGTGTTGTGGTTAGTATTTTTGAATATTTCAATTGTGATCATAATAATATACTCACTTTTGTTGTATTACTCATAATGGATGGGTGATTAGGTCTATTGAATATTGAGCTGATGAATATATATCTTGTGGTTGTAATGGATGTTATATGACTTGACACTCCATGGATCTGTACTCTATTTGTTTATATTACTTGTTGATACTAAGTTAATCTGGGGTACTATGGCTATAAAATTTATTTCAATACCCAAAAGTATAAACAGAGTCTAGTTGAATATTAAATGAACGTTTTGGGAATATTTCCTGTTTGAGGTGGTGATGTAATATAAGCCTATTGAATATTGGTGCTTTCAATTAGTTATAATTTGATTATTCCGCAATTGAATATATATTTATTTTATTTATTTCTCCTTTGTTTAGTGGCTTTCCGTTTCTTTCACTTTGCTTTCACGTTCACTTGTTGAATCCCGGGATTCTCAAAGTAATTTAATTGTGGTTTATCGGATGCGAAAGTAACAATAAAATCAGTAAACACAACACAGAATAGAGTAAAATAAATGGTTTCTATATATGTGATATCCTAATTCTTTATATTCTATTATATTCTATTTACTACTCCATTCATTATGGTTATCATACAATTACTTGTACTGATATGTTCCCAAAAAATCCCATTTCTCTGCCATTTCCATAAGTGTCACTCCATCCACTTAATACTCATTCAAAAAAAATTGATGAAAATTAACATGATTTGAGAATTATTTTGACACCATTACAACACCATCAGAACAACCAACAATGGCTGATTTAACTACATCTTTCCAAAAACTAAGTCTAACAGATGCTGAATCTGCAGACGCCTCAAAATTCCCTTCTTTAACCAATGAAGAAAAAGCTCTTGAATCTCAATGGTTAACTTTATCTAAAAGATTCCCAGAATCAATTGATCAATTAAATGATAATTTAAGATCAAAAACTTATATTCTTGGTAATCAACCTTCATCTGTTGATGCTATTGTCTTTACAAGAACTTTACCAATCGCTTCTAAATGGACTTCAAATGATTATGCTTCAAAACGTCATATTTTACGTTGGATTGATTTAATTCAAAATACTTTAGTTGAAGTTCCTCAAGATTCTAAAATAAAGATTGATTTTTCAGTTGAAATCCCAAGAGAAGAAAAGAAAAAGGAAAAGAAAACAGATGCTAAAGATGCTAAAGCTGATACTAAAGCTACACCAGCTCCAACCGCTGAATCATCAGGTAAGAAAGAAAAAAAACAAAAAGGTGGTAAACCAGATGAAGAAACTTTAAAAAAATTAAAAGAAGAAGCTCAAAAGGCTAAAAAAGAAAAAAAAGCAAAAGCTGCTGCTGAACAAGCTGAAAAGGCAAAAGCTGAAGCTGCTCCACCAACTCCTTCATTAATTGATTTAAGAATTGGTTATATTCAAAAAGCTATTAAACATCCAGATGCTGATTCTTTATACGTTTCTACAATTGATGCTGGTGATGAAGAAGGTCCACGTACTGTTTGTTCAGGTTTAGTTAAACATTTCCCATTAGAAGCATTACAAGGTCGTTATGTTGTTTTAGTTGCCAATTTAAAACCTGTTACTATGAGAGGTATCAAATCTACTGCAATGGTTTTATGTGGTTCTGATGATGAACATGTTGAATTTGTTGATCCTCCACAAGGTGTTAAACCTGGTGATAAAGTCTTTTTTGAAGGTTTTAATGGTACTCCTGAAAAAGTTTTAAATCCAAAAAAGAAAATTTGGGAAGCTATTCAACCTTCTTTCTCTACTAATGAAGCTTTAGAAGTTATTTATAAACAAGAAGGTAAACCTGATGCTAAATTGACTAATAATGAAGGTCAATCATTTAAAGTTAAATCTATTGCTAATGCTAATGTTCGTTAAGAAATTTAGAAGTTGATTATATAATAAGTTTAAATTTAGTTCCACTTTTTTGCATAGAATGAGATTAATTGTAGAGAGGAAGAAGACCTAAATTCAAATAACTCTATTAAATACCTCTTTTAAATAACTCTTTTCCATTTAATATTCTTTATTAATTGACTCATAATAAATCAACTTTCGCGACCTCATCATGCGTTAAGTAAAGATTCTCTCATCGCAAATATTTATAAACAGTACAATTCCAAGATTTATACACAAACTTCAACTTCCCATTATAATTACTAAATATAAATTGCTAGATAAATATTCCCTATAGCTAAACCCCAACAATGAAACTTATATCCCAACATTTCGAAAAAGATTCAAGTGGATCCATAACATTAGTCGCAGAAGACAAAGAAGATTTATTCACATTATACAACTTAATTCAAAAAAAAGATGAAATTGAATTGAAAACTTTAAGAAATATCAAGAAATCAACAACAAAAGATGGTTCAAAAGGTTCAAAATCTAAAAATGAAAAAAAATTATTAAAATTAAAAATTGATATTGAAGAAATTGATTTCACTCCACAAGATGAAGTTATGAGAATTAGAGGTAAAACTATTGATTCATTAGAAGATGTTCCATCAGGTACTTATCATACAGCAGAAATAGATTTCCAACATCCTTTCACATTATATAAAGATGATTGGGATCAAGTTTCATTTGATTTGATAAGTAAAAGTTGTAGTATTGATGAAAAAGCTGAAGTTGGTGCTATAGTTTTACAAGAAGGTATTGCACATATTTGTTTAATTACAGAAAATATGACTGTTTTAAGACAAAAAGTTGAAAGATCAATACCAAGAAAGAAAAGAGGTGATTCTTCTGCTCATGATAAATCATTAGAAAAATTTTATGAATTAGTAAGTTCAACTATATCAAGAGATTTAAATCTTCAAAAATTAAAAGCTATAATTATTGCATCTCCAGGTTTTACTGCTCAGGGGTTATTTGATAAATTTTTCCATATGGCAACTATAAATTCTGATAAAGAAACATTACAAACCAAGCCAAAATTCATTGTAACACATTCATCAACTGGGTTTTTACAAGGTTTAGATGAAGTTCTCAAGAATGAAGAAATTCAAAAAAAATTATCAACAACAAAATTTGCAAAAGATGTCATTTTATTAGATGATTTTTTTAAAAAATTAAATGATGATGATGGTAAAGCATGGTATGGACCAAAAGAATGTGAAAAAGCTATAAATATGGGTGCTGTAAAGAATTTATTATTAACAGATTCATTATTTAGAAGTGATGATATAAATGAACGTAAACATTATATTGAATTAAGTGAAATTGTTAAAAACACTGGTGGTGATGTTACTGTTTTTTCAAGTTTACATGAATCTGGTATTCAATTAGATCAAATTACTGGTATTGCTACAATTTTAAATTATCCTGTTTTCGATTTAGATGAAGATAGTGATGATGAAGAGTAAAATAATAAATAAATATAGATTATAGAATAATAAATAGTTGTATTATGCTTATGCTGTAAATTTTTGATGCCCATTTATATACCAAAGTTCACCATTTCTAAGATAATAAAGAATATCTTGTATCCCACCAAATAATAACCCAATGAAAACACCATTTTTAACCATCCTAGAAACACCATGACTACTTAACTTATAATATTTAGCATATACATAACCTGAACCTATAGTAGCACCCATTGTATTTAACATATCTATCTTACCTCTAATTTTATCTAACCCTGCTTCAATACTAAATAACCCCACAATCATTGAAGAATATTTAAATGCATTTCGTAAACCACCACGTATAGATTCTGTTAAACAAACATAATTTCTTCTTTTATAATAGAAATACCAATTACCTTTTGTTTTAGGTAATCTATGTGAATTTTCTGCTAAAAATCTTAGACCTGTGTTTTTATATTCTGTTCTAGCTCCATTTATGAATCCAGTTATACCAGATACAAAGCCAAATGCAGTTAGACGAGGTATTGGATGTAAATGAAGTCTTTGGTTTTGGTTTGCCCTATGAAACTCATCCCATACTCTTTCTTTATCCAATTCTTCTGGAGTCGACATTGTCTGTTGAACTAATTTGAAATTTTGTTGATGTTTTAGCTTTGTATTTCCAATTCTCGAAAGCACACTCCTTTATTTATCCGGAGATCAAATTGACACCAAAACAAATACATCAACATCAACAACATCAACATCAACGTCAATTGAATGATCTCTAATTGATTCCAATACAATGCCAGGAGAATCACCAAACACCGCAAATGACAGACAATGGACTTCTCATTTAATCTTCACCACAGTGGTTGCTTGTTCAGCTTCATTACAATATGGTTATCACATTTCTGAATTAAATGGACCAAGTGCTGTACTTTCATGTCAATCCAACTTGGAAGTTCCAAATTTCCCCTATGAAGAATCATGGTTATCAATCCATGGATTATCAAAATGTATTGAAATGAATGATCAAGGTTTAGGGTTTGTAACTTCAATTTTTTCAATTGGTGGATTAGTTGGTTCATTATATGCAGGTTCATTAAGTGATTCAATTGGTCGTAAAAAATCAAGTGCTTTCAATGCAATTGTATTCATTATAGGTTCATTGATTGAATTCTATGCAAATAGTGTTAATTCATTAGCTTTTGGTAGATTTGTTTCAGGTCTTGGTGCTGGTTGTTCTATTGTTGTTACTCCTTTACTTATTAATGAAATTAGTCCAAATGGGTTGAAGGGGTTTTTAGGTAGTATGAATCAAGTTTCAATAAATTTAGGGATTTTGTTAACTCAAGTCCTGGCGATTAGTTGGGCAAATAGTTTTCAATGGAGATATTTATTATTAACTGGTGCTGGATTAGGAGTTTTAAATTTATTATTAGTTTGGTTTGTTGATGAAAGTCCAAAATGGTTACATAGAAAAGGTGATAACGTCCAAGCAAGATTAATCACAAGTAAATTAAGAGGTGGTGATACTGTATTGGCTGAAGAAGAAGTTAGAGGCTGGTCCTCATATCCTGGTGGTAATGGAGGTGATGATGATAATGATGATGAAAATTCTCCATTATCAAGAAACAATCAAGATAATCAATTAACTAAATCAATTACATTATTGAATTATGTTAAAGATCCAATTTATTTGAATTCATTAATTTCAGTTACTGCAATAATGGCTGGACAACAATTTTGTGGTATAAATTCAATTTTTTTCTATGGTGTTAAAACAATTAGAGAAATTTTACCAAAATATGCCGTTACTATAAATTGTTTGATTTCATTAGGTAATGCTGTTATTACATTCTTAGCAGCTCCATTAACAGATAGATTAGGACGAGTTCCATGTTTATTATTATCAGTTTCAATAATGGGGGTTGCATCAATTTTAAATAGTATTGGTATATTACAATCATTACCTTTAATTACAATAATTTCAACATTTATTTATGTTGGATTTTTCGCAATTGGATTAGGTCCAATTCCATTTTTAATTGTTCCAGAAGTTACACAAGTTGAAGCAAGAGGTGCAGCACAAAGTTATGGTACTACAATTAATTGGATTGCAACTTTTTTAGTTGGTTATTTATTCCCAATTTTACAATCTTATTTAGGTGGTTATGTTTATTTAATATTTGCTAGTGTATGTGCATTATTTGGATCATTTGTTTATTTCAAAGTTCCAGAGACTAAAGGTAAAACATATGAACAAGTTTGGGGACTTCGTGTTGATTAGATAGATATAGATGTCGACATACATATATAATAAAAGCCCTATATACTCTAAAGTCACATGATATAATACAGGTCTCACAATTGTAAACTATGACTACCAACCCGAACACCACTTACTGAATATGAAAAAATAACCTGGCCCTACCACTCCCCAAACATTTTTATTTTTCAAAAAAACCAAACAAACACCAAACAATTCGCGAATTCTAATTGCTTTACTTGAGTATTCCGCGAATTTTCGAGAAACTCTTTTTGCTTTAGTGTGTGTGAGAATTGTTTGTGTGAGTGCGATTTTTTCAATACTAACTTCATTAAAACAAAATTTAAAGTAGTTTTGAAATCTCTTCTTTTTTGAAGTTTTATTTATTATAGAATCAAACAACATCAAAGATGCCTACTAGATTCACTAAAACCAGAAAACATAGAGGTAACGTCTCAGGTATGTGATGAATATGAATTCAAAAGTTGATTGGGAGGTTTTATTGTTTTTGGATTAAAACAATTGAATGAATACGTAGTTTTTTCATTATATTATGGGTTTGAATAATTTGAGTATATTGAAGAGATTTATTAGAAGGAGTATCAATAAAGAATAGAAAGATGATCAAAGAAAGAATTATATGAAATGACAATGAATTGGAAATAGTATTTGTTACAAATGGATTATGATTTTTCAAAAGTAAAATTTTATTAAACACAATATTAAAAATGAAAGTAATACAACAATAATAAAAGAAGCAAAGAAATATAAAAAAGAAGAACATAAATGATACCAGAACTACGTATTTGATCTCCCAAAACCACTTTTTTACAGAATATCAATACTAACAATTTTAATTATAGCCGGTAAAGGTCGTATCGGTAAACATAGAAAGCATCCGGGTGGTAGAGGTAAAGCTGGTGGTCAACATCATCACAGAACCAATTTAGATAAATACCATCCAGGTTACTTTGGTAAAGTTGGTCAAAGATATTTCCACAAACAACAATTACATTTCTGGAAACCAGTTTTAAACTTGGATAAATTATGGACTTTAGTTCCAGAAGATAAAAAAGATCAATATTTATCATCAGCTTCAGCTTCAGCTGCTCCAGTTATTGATACTTTAGCTCATGGTTACGGTAAAGTTTTAGGTAAAGGTAGATTACCAGAAGTTCCAGTTATTGTTAAAGCTAGATTTGTTTCAAAATTAGCTGAAGAAAAAATTAGAGCTGTTGGTGGTGTTGTTGAATTAGTTGCTTAAGTTTAACTTTTTAATGAAGATTTTGTTTCATATATAATCAATAAAAAGGTTTTTAGGAAGATGATTTGTAGTCTTGTATTATTTAATTTATATGAATATTTCACATAATTTATTGGTTTAAAATGGAATATGATCCTTGAACTGATTACTAAACACATAAACACAACCAAATGTATCTTCTTAATTCATTATTCTATCCACTAATAAACTGTTTAATATAATCTTCGTACGTCTTTTAGTCTTCTAGTACATAAAATCGGACATTCAAAATTTCTTTTTCATCCGATGAAGTTGACCTCTAAAAAAATTCTAAAATGTAAACAAACAATTTGATTTATAAAAACATTTCAAAACATTGATCTGAACATCACCACCAAACCAAACCCAAAACAAAGGATCATAGCTGTTGAACTGCTCTTGCTAACTTACATGCTCAAGACTAGTCTATTCAGATCAATTTCACCCTTTTCAAAAATCATTTCAAAATCATTAATACCCAAATCAAGAATAAGAACAATGACAACAGAATCAAATTGGACAGTAGAAAATTCCATACCACAAAATATTAAAACTCTTTTAACCCCTGCAAACTCTAAATCATCAGATATAAATTATGTTTTAATTTTCTTACAAATTGTTAGTTTATTAAAATCACAAAGAAGAACAGGTTGGGTTGATCATGGTATTCCAGATTGTGAATCAATTTCAGATCATATGTATCGTATGGGTATAACATCAATGTTAATAACAAATCCTGAAGTTGATACCAGTGCATGTGTTAAGATTTCACTTGTTCATGATATTGCAGAATCTTTGGTTGGTGATATTACACCATTTGATGGAGTTACCAAAGAGGAAAAACATCGTAGAGAATTTGAAACAATTAAATATCTTAGTGAATTAATTGGGAAGTATAACCAGGCTAAGGGGAAAGAAATTTTGGAATATTGGTTAGATTATGAAGAAATTAGAACCTTGGAGGCAAGATATGTTAAAGATATTGATAAATTTGAAATGTTATTACAAAGTTTTGAATATGAAACCAAATTCAAAGGTGAGAAGAAATTAGATCAATTTTGGGGTGCAAGATCAAGTATCAAGACTGATGAAATTAAATCATGGACTGATGAATTGTTTAATAAAAGAGAAGAGTTTTGGAAATCAATTGAAAAGAAATAATATACCGACATAGACCACTGCATTGTATAATACTACCCATTGTTTAGAATATTTATATGCATGATATATATTAATTGAAATCTATAAGCAAGTGTATAAGCTATTGTTCATTTCTAGTGATTAATTTAGATAACGCTATGTCTATTGTCATGTCTTGATATTAATTTAGCTAACGCTAAATTATATTTGTTAACCATAAATTATCATAACCAAATACCCAAGGACCAATAGTATGTCTTATAAAAATAGCAAAAACCCCAATCAAAAATTGTAAACCCAATATAATTAAAGTTAATTTATCCTCTCTCAAAGGACCAAACCAAACAAGTATAAGATTAATTAAAGTAAAATTTGAATTTTTAATGATTCTCCCAGTCTTAATGTCTTTTTCCAATTTAACTAATTTTAAAATTGATAAGAGTTCTAAGGTTTGTGTGATCCATGGTTTTAATTGTTTTGTTGTTGGTTGGGTATAATCAACCATTGATGGATACATTAATCCATCTTCTGGGTTAAATTTTGGTAATCTATGTCTTGGACAAGGAATTGAATTGATTAATTGTGGTAAAGAATAAATAAAATTAAAAATTTGTGGTATGAAAAATAATAATAATGTCTTGGAGAAATGACCAAGGATACCAACTATAGCAAATACCATACCTGCAAAATAACAATAAGTATCCCCCACGAATACTTTTGAAGGCCACCAATTAAATTTTAAGAGGGCAAGAGAAACACCAAGGAATGGAATGATTAAACAAATTGAAAATAAATGAGATTCTCTTGCTGGGAATGAACCAGATACAAGGAAAATTAAATCATTAATTAAGATCAAGAGGGCAATTATAATACTTTGACCAACTTCTAAACCATTAACACCAGCAAGGATATTTATTGAATTTGGACAAAAAATTGCAACAGAACTCATATAAATATAATATAACCAACCTAATTCAATTGTAGTTTGCCCCTGTGGGAACCAAGATTCCAAGAACTTTGGAATCAAGACATGTGTAATACCAAAATCAACATAATAAACAATTAATAAAGGTATAGCAGCAATAGCTGGTAAAAAAAATTTATGTCTCCATCTAATATCAAATAAATCATCTGCAATACCCAAGAGAACAGTACTTTCTAAACATAATATTGCACTTAAATAACCAGCTAATTTATCATGTGGGAATCTATCAAGGTCCGAATCTCTTATCTGGGTGATTCCATCATCTCTATTACCACCACCTGTAGTATTTGTCACCAAGTACTTGATGAATAGGAATGGTATAAAGAAAAACATGACAAATAAGTAGGAAGTAGCAGCAACTGAACCTAATGATTCTGGAATAACAGGTTTATTGGGTTTGGATAAATCTTTACCATATAGACCTATCTTGATGAATGATGAAGATAATTTTGGGATTAAATAATTTGTTGATATGAATCCAATTAAACTGAATCCTAAAGCAGCTTGTAATGGTTCAGTTATCCCATAGGAACCTTGGGAAGTGTATATTATTGTTATGGCTATTCCTAGGAGGGATAGTTCTGGAAGGGACATTGTGTGATTGACGTAGTCAATTGTAATCAATTGGTGATGATATTGATATTGTATTGATCTAACACC